GGGATAAGAGTCGCATGCTGAAGCCACTAAGCCAACACTGCAATCAGCAATTAATAACTGAATTAATTCGATGAAACCTTACTCTTGAAATTATCGTTTAAAACATTATCAAAGGGCGAGCTCGCTTTTAACTCGTACACATGGCAACCTGTGAACTACGCAATATAACGTGTTGCCAGAAGCTAATTAGTCCCGGCCAAAGTAAGCAACTAATTAACGAGAGCGTTATAAGTTTTCATACTTCCTTTGTGAGCTTGTCAATATCGACGCCGTCCTTAGAAACCGATAATTGGAGAAACTGTAGAGCAAAGGTGTGTTCACTTTGTAAGTTATATATCATTATTACACTATATTTATATGTATATGTGAATGATCTTGCTGTTATATGCTTGTTTTACTATAATATACATATCAGGTTTACGTTTTGTTTACGCGAATTAAGATTTTAATTAATTTACTAATGTGATTTGTTTGTTGACTACGAAGATGAAAAGTTTGAATTATTGTTTTGTAACTTAAATTGATATCCAAAGTGACACTAGAGCCGTGGTTTCCCACTGTGGGGCGTGGTAATTTGACTATAAAGGTGGGCTATTCGTAAATTTATGAATATTATTTGTAATTTGAATTTTAATTAACATTATGTTTTGAAAATTTACTTACGATGTTTTGCTAAGTATTTTCTAGTAAATGCTTTCCATAACCCATCATTAAGTTTCTTAAGGCAACAATTTCTTAATATTTAAAATAATTTTGGTTACATATGGCATAGGAATTTTAGAAAAGCTAAGGTGCGTTATGGCATTTAAAAGTTGGGAAACACTACACTACAGTGATAAAGACAAAACATTCGAAATTTGTTTTTTTTTGTATAAAATTGAAATTTATAGGTTGGTAATTACTGATGTTAGCAACCAGTCCCGTAAACCCCAATAGGGCGTGATACTAACTGTGTATTTTTTTTTTAACGTAACTAATATAATAATATCTATGTAATTCAAACAGTGAGCAGTGTTGGCCTAGTGGCTTCAGGTTTGATGCCCGGCTGTGCACCAATGGACTTTCTTTCTATGTACGCATTTAACATTTGCTCGAAAAGGAAAACGACATGTCTTAGGCACAAAAAGTCGACGGCGTGTGTCAGGCACTGGAGGCTGATCACCTACTTGCCTATTAGATTCAAAAATGATCATGAAACAGATTCAGAAATCTGAGGTCAAGACCTAAAGAGGTTGTAGCGCCACTGGTTTATTTTTTTTATGTTATTCAAACTATGATTATAACTACGATCTGTCAATACGGCTCCAGACTAACTCTTAATAAGATGCAAAGAGCGTAAATGGGTGTGAGAGGTCTAATGAAGCATAATATGCAGCGTGCATCAAGGTCACAGGCCCAAGTCACTGACCTGTGTTAACTGCGTATGCGCCGCGCCTTTACCTCGCTTGATTGTTTTCTATACGTACGATAAGTAATTATTCAATAATAATTAAAGCTCGCGGTTTCTGTTGTCAACAGTCGTTATAACGAGTGTTATACGTGTTTGTCCAATAATTAAGATTCTATATAAAAGTGTACCTAAGTATCTCTCATGTCTTAGCGTGGTGGTACTAAGAAACCTCTGGAGCGGATAATCTGTTTCCACCGGTTTCTGTCCAGCGACTCTCTTATAACTGTGTACCATTTTGAGGAGTGGTGGATTGGACGGATCTGGTTGGTGAACTGCCACGTGATCTTTTGCCTTCTGTGTTACCAACCACGATCAGTTTCTCCAAGTTCTCATCACCTCTGCGCATTGTATGGCCGAAATAAAATATTATTATAATTAGAAAAACATATAAATTTAATTATAAATCATGCTTACCTACTTTTTAGTAATTCTAGAACCTAGGACCTTCGAATTCACATGCATATTAAGAATTTAGTCATAGGAGGTCACAATATCAATCTAGTTTACGTAAAACGCCAGTTAATGTCCTACATATCTACATCAGTAAAAGTAGAATTTGTCCCACAGGTCATTGACCTTTGACGTACAGCGCCCTCTATGTGGATCACTTAATTAATTATTCTATTTTTCGCACGTTGCGTGGGCGAATGCAATGAGTTAGGGCTGGGTTTAGGAGCAATAATTTAATTTGTTTAATGTATCGTTTATAGGCCTATAACTACCAACTGGGTTGAACAGACCTCTCTAATGTGATTTAAATACATATATGTATATAAGCTATGTGTATGTACATTCTTACTTCACTTTATTAATAAATCAGTGTTAATAAATACTGTTGTATCTTTCTGTCAAATTTTGTTCGAGCTGTGGAAAGGAACAATTTTTTTTTAAGAGATACATAGTTTTCATTTCTGTGAAAAAGAAATACAATTGGTTTTATTATCTAATTTTATATATTTTACAAGAAATGTAAATGTATATTTATTACGCACATAATAATTAAAATCTCAAGAATAAAAATCTACGTGAAAAAACTAAATGCCTTATCGTTAAAGGACCCTATTCAATAAATCCAAAAATATATGTTCAAATGAAATCTTATCATACATTTTAATTAAAACAGGGCATGTTTCATTACAATTCGTAATAAAATTGTACTTAGAAAATAACTGTAAATTAGCAATTTAATTTAGCGAAGGCTGGCGGTAGCACGCGAACTGATTTGTGGCTACGAATCGAGCAAAACTCAATACATTGCTGTTAAAATATAGCCTTACACCTTGGCTAGTGCTAGATTTGTATGTTTGTGTGTTTTTAAGGAACAAACCTCCTAGAATCCTTCCGGGCATAAATATTCCTCAAAACGTTTTTAAGAACATTGTGGAAAGCACATCCAGAAGGATTAAGCTGTGATTTCTAAATTTATTTAATTAAAAAAAAGGGAAAGAGCTTCCTGTCTTTGTTTCCGACCACTTTTTGTTTGGCCGTGTTGGTTTAAATAATTCATCAAAAATTTATACAAATGCCAGAATTAATTTACACGATCATAAGCATAAGTCAGACAATTAAATTTCATTTAATTTACTGAAATCGACCTTAGACCGTAAATTTCCTCAGGTGTCTCTATTTTCTTGCATTAGAATTTATGTTCACTTATGAGCGTCGGTATTAAAAAGGAAAATCTAAATGTTGACCAGTTTCCAAATCGCCAGAGCGAGAAGAACTGGCAGGAAACTCCTCCACTTAATCGTCAAGTTTTAGTGTACAAGTTTGTAAGGAACTGATCACGCTTCACTTGACATATTGAAACAAAACAAAGCCCAGCTAGAGCGGCTAGCATTTACTAAAACATTAGCTTCGAGGTCCTACTTCCCAGTCTTTCAATTGTTTCTTAGGCTTTAGATACACTACGACAAGAAGTAAACAAAACGTTGAAGTGGAGGTGAAACAAAGGAGGTGATAGCTTATATCCGTCCAATAATTTATGGCCTCATTAATATTCCGTTTTGCGCTGTGGTTAATGATATATAAAAATATTATCGCTCGCTTAACGCACAATGCCCTCATCGATTTAATATGTGACATCATCAATGTATGGCTTAATATCTAAAAAAAAATACCTAAGCAACGAAGCTTTTTTCTACCTATAGTATAAGATCCCGCTATACAACGACCTTCACCGAGATGCTTATTTAATGAAACTTATTTTATATATAATTTAATATGTCAATAAATATAATCCATATGGGTTGCCTAGCAAATTTCAGTCCAGAGTATGTTTAATTAATATTAAAAAAAAATTTTTTTTTATAATTTGCATGTAGTAAATTTTTTGAACTTTTTTCAATCAATATTTTTAATCAGGGTAGTATTATATATGTATCACTATAACCTTCTTTTATACTAAAGATGTATATATACTTTAGTGTCACATAAAAAATATACACATAAATAATTAATTGATTAAAAACAACCTAACGTTTGCATATTCTATGGGCTTCATACGTTCGATTGGTATAGAATTTATCTAATAATCATACCGGTGAAATGTTTAAAAAAATATTTTTTTTTAAATTAATTAAACATACTCTGGACTGAAATTTGCTAGGCAACCCATATGGATTATATTTATTGACATATTAAATTATATATAAAATAAGTTTCATTAAATAAGCATCTCGGTGAAGGTCGTTGTATAGCGGGATCTTAGACCACTATATACGTAGTTATCTATCAAGTACCAGGCATTGTATGTCACTTGACGTTGTCAAATTGACGTAATACGTCAATTAATGTCACTACTTTGATAGACAAGAATGATGGACTAGACAATTATAAATCGAGGCTCCAGTCTTTAGAAAAAGTCTAATTAAGGTCTAGATTGACAGAGTATCCTTAGGAGTATTAATACAAATAAATAAGAACGAATATTATTGTATTCGTATTTCATCGTTTAAGTTGTTTAAGCTATATTTACTACAGCGCCATCTATGAATTACCCACAAAACGAAATGTGTGAATCATCTTTACATTATCTTGGTAGTTGTGTAAGCGTTAATACTTCGAAGTGTGCCGGTTTTATACAAACTTGTTCGTAGCCTCCATAGCTCAGGGGTTAGAGCACTGGTCTTGTAAACCAGGGGTCGAGAGTTCAAATCTCTCTGGAGGCAATATCAATTTTATATTTTTTTTTACTTCAAATAAAATACTTTAAATTTTTTATTGACATTTTTATTCTATGGTATGTTAACGTGAAGTTAGATCATTATATACTTATTTGAAATTTTGTTATATATAATAAATATATCAAATATTGATATTTTATTAAATTTTTATTATGAAGTAAAAAAGGAAAACATTAAATTTTAACCTTCTTTTTCTTATTATAGTTCAGATAATTTAATAAAAGTATGTTTTATCAAGTAAAATAAGCAAATATTACATAAATTTTTTTGTTACTACAGACATAGCCATATTATATTTGTATTAAATATATGTATTTCTTTGTGTTAAGTGATTTTTTTTTTAATAATATTTTTTTCAATTTCAGCTGACTGGTCATCAGAGTGCGTCTCCCGTGCAGAGATCCTCCGACTCATCTACCAGGGTCGCTTCCTGCACAGTTCAGTGACGCTGGGCGCGCTAGGCTTGCCCCTCGGACGTACTACCGTCATGCATCTAGTGCCACGCGAACATTTGCCCGAGCCCAATTCGCACGGTACGTTACTAAACTATTATGCGTTTGTCTAATTTTCTATTATTATCTTGTCTAATAAGTTAGTATTAATCTCCCAGGACAAAATTAATCCAGAACACCAACCATACTTTGTTTGCGTTATTATGATTACATTTTGAATTAAGACAACTATTTTGTTATGTGTTCTGTGATCAATTGTTATTGAATTCCTCGAATTTTTCATTTAGTCCACTTTTGAATACATTCTTCTATAGGTGAAGGTTTGTAAAAAATATGCCACATTTTCTGATGTATTTTATACATTTATTTGAATAATATTACAGAAGTTCGATGGAGTTAACACAATACCCTCCCTCTCCCACCCTTCCCCTTTCCTACCCTGCATTTCGTAAGTTTTAATCTTTTACTTTTATTTCCCCTTTGTGTCAAGCGGAAATATAAAAAATTTGACCCTATAACGAATAAATTAATACATTTTGTTTAATCGAAGAAAAATGTCTTCAAAAGTGGACATTATTTTCGCTTGACACGTTTTTAGCACCGTGTAGTTATTTGAGCGAATGTATCATAATATATACAGTCCATTTATTGTTTGAAAGCGCAAAATAACAGTGAGGGAAAAACACTAACCACACTTTCTTAGTAGGGTAATGTAATGTAAACAATAAAAATTTCTAAAGATTTACGAAACAGCTTGTATAGTAAAAAATATATATATATATTGTTATTTAGGATCTTGGAATTAATCTTATAGTTTTCATATGAAACATACACAGAATTTTCAGATGACAGATTCAATTTAAAATGCCAGTTTGACATTTCAATATTCTATTACCGTTGAAATATCGTAAGGATTTTGATCTGTGTAAACCAAGATATAATTTAAAGCCTTTTCTAATCTTTTTCAGTAATTAAATTAGTCTTACTATAGTGTATTTTTTTCGATACTGTAAAATTATTAACATCCTTCGGATTTAGTTACTGAGTTTTTTAAAACTATAAAGCTGTTTCATAAATCTTTTATAGTTTACATAATATTAGTTAACCATTCATAAATGTGTGTTAATAAATGGTTATTTATAATTATAAACAAGTGAAATAATAATATAAGCCTAATTTATATTTTAAAACGTTGCAAGACCATTTCATTTGTTTTAATATTTATGATTGCACATCACCATACCTTTAGCTTGTCTCTGGTTTAAAAGAACGCCATATTTGTTTACTTTTAGGTCAATTCAGAATGAATGGACTGTAAATACTAGATATTGCCTATTAGTTTGAACTGTTAGTATGAGATATTGTTGGAATTGTACAATTTGTGTTTTAGCACGTGTGCAATATTTTCTAGCATTATTTTGTTCTCTACACTGTACATTACAACGCAGAGAACAGTCTAAGTAATAATAATCCATCCATTTCTGTAAAAATACAAAAAAATAAGTATGTATTAATAAATATTAATAATTTCGTAAATTGGGCTGCGATTTTAGTTTTCATACTTTTTTATATATTTTTTCTAGTATTGGTTATATATGAACCAAAAGTACAGAAAACACAAAAATACCAGTAAGGGGTTTAACCTTGGTAGTGAAGAGCTACACCACAGTACAAATTTAAAATTACTTATAGACTAAACATAACTGTTTAACTGGTAACTGGTAACCCAAAGAGCGTACCAATTCTTAAAAGGCCGGAAACGCACTTTCGAATCTTCTGAATATGAGTGTCCATGGGCGGTGGTATCATTTAACATCAGGTTTGCATCCTAGTTTGCATCCTATTACATAATTTTACAAAAAACGAAACGAAAGTCTTGATGTTGAATTTTTAAATTGTATAGATATGACCCCTTTCTTATGTTGATTCTAATATTATAATAATTAAATTTCCAGATCAACGACAAAAAAGCAAAGGCGGTTCGAGCAGTTGCTGTTCGGCGTCGTGCTGCATATTGTAATGAGAGACTCAAATGTGTTCACACTCAGTGGTTAATCGGTCACGGCACTTGTGATGTTTTTAAAAGACTCGCTTATTTTAAGAGATTATCTTAGATAATTTCCTTTAGTTTAATAATTCGCTAGCACTCGAAAACCATCGAGCACAAAATTCTAAACTTTACGCACACCTTACGAACTCTTTAAAAATATCGCAAGCGTATACATTTCAGGTATTACCGGCCTACCCGCAGATTCGGTGGGATGTTCAGAAGTGAGACTTGCGTTGAGTGTCATTCTGGTATGTCAAAATTCAAGAGTATTTCGACATACGGAAGTTATGCTCAGCGCTGTCTCGTTTTTGAGTCTCACTTAGGAGTCGATAGTTAGCGTTCGACTTCAGTATTTCAAACACGTTTTGGATTTGACGCACGGGAGTTGGTGCTAAGTATCGACTTTGAATCTTACAGTGAATAGTTTAGTGTTGCCAGTTAATGTCAGATTGGGTCTTAGATAAATTTTAGTGATGAACGGCAATGTAAACTATTATATGGGTGATTTTGGGTAGCTTAAGTGGCCACACCGTTAGCTCATTATAGAATCGCTGCCGCGTTTAGGTAAGTGAAAATTAAATGTATAAATGGAACGAGTTTGTATACAAAATAGTTCCTCTAGTTCGGCTTGTATGTTTGTTCGTATAAATTCTTAAGCGATCGACTTATAAATGACAAATTATATGTAGAATTCAGTACGTTGTATATAGTTTTATTCGTTTGGTTAAGTTAATGCAATATATGAAATTTATTTTTAAAAATTTAATATTTACATTCGCTAGTTGTAGCTTAAACGGAGTTGGTCGCGATTTAGAATAATTCCAGTAATAATATTTAAAACGCAACACGGCGACTGATTTGTATGAGAAAATTATTAAAAAAATATTTTTTGCCGAGTTTCATATATTAATAATACATAGAGTACCGCCATTTTAGATATAAACTCATTTTAGTGTTTAACAATTATAAATATTGTTGCTATAACGAATAATTCTGAATATCTCAGTGTTACCAGGCTCCGATATTGTAAATATACTTTAACATCACAGCTTTGAATTGGCTTTTAGATATTTTTTTTATTGGCTAGGTTTAGCCGTATTTTAAGATTCCTGATAAATTTCATCTATACATCATGATTATATTTTTGTGATAGTACAAATAAACTATTGACGGACAGACAGAAGGTAGATATAATTATGTATCGGAAACAGTATTAAGGGGAACTGAAGCTTTTTTGACCTGTAGCGGACTGGGGAATGTATTTCTGGAAAATTTTTTTTTTTTTAGTGTTCATCGTTTTCATTTCATATTGATTTTTCTCTCTGTTGATTATACAAAAGTATATAGAGACAATAAAATTAACGAAATCTTGCCATAATTTATTTCAGGCATATATTCCCGAGGTCGCAAATAATGTTTTTTTTTTTATAAATTTTGGTTACTCTGTTTAGTTGCTGTACGTATTTTGTTAAGTTGTGTAAAAATACCTAGTTGATAATTAAAATAAAATTACAAATTGATTTGCATTTTTTATTTTTGCTTATTTCCACAATAGATGGCGCTTAACTCTAGTTTTATGTTAAAGTTCTTAATATCCGGTTTTAAATATTAAAATGCAAAATACTAACACCCTTATTCATGAATAATCAAATTGCAACATTTTAACTAAAGTATTCATCTGCCTCTTTTTATCACAGTGTTAACACAATTTGACAGAAAAAGACAAAAGAGTACAATAGCATTGATTTCGTTTTATTCATAAAGGGGTAAGCTTTAGATTTTTATAGAAAAATTGTTTTCTATAGAAAAATCTGAAGGAAGAATCAGAAGGAAATTATTACGAATAACAATATTATGGATGGATGGATGGATTAATACGAAAACTACAACGCATAATCTAAAATTTTGTAAATATTCTCTAGCCCCAGCAACACTAGAAAACGAGTGTTGACAGCTTTTAGCCCTCCAAATATTATACAAGAAATATACGTTCTGCGGCTGTTTTAATTAATTTCGGGCTAAGGTGTATAGGTAAGTAGGTTGTATAAGGTGATATCGTAGTATAGTTCGATGTCTTCACCATATTTTAATATTTCCATAGATTAGAAGTCAAAACCACGTTTAGTTTTACTATTTTTCAATTCGATAACTAACGCTATGATAGACAACAGTCTAAGGTATGTAATCTATGCGGGAATAGACGATTCGATTTTTTTATATAAACGTGGTGGCTGACTGTTATGTAAATTTCTTTAAACTTTAGAAATAACTTAGCTTCTATAAGCCGTTGTATGTTAGGCGTGGTCTTTTCTAACCATAGATATTTCGGTTCCGCTTACCAAATATTTTAATTGTTAAAAATAATAAATTCTATTACATTGTTTTATATAGAACTTCTGTTAATATATTAAATTATTGATAATTTTCATGTCATATGAAACCAATCTAGCAAAAGCCGAACAAAAGATTGGCAAAATTAAATTAAAAAAACTAAATTAAATTTTTATTGACCAAGAAATGTTCTTATTTTTTTATATTGGTATCTTAACTTAAAAATACTACATATTTAACTTAAGATTCATTTAAAATTAGCGACATACAACGGTCAATAATAGGTGTCACTATAACAGATTTACATAATCTATATTATAAAATATTCATCGTGTAAAGCTCGGTATTTTAAGCTTTGAAAACAGTCAAAGAATCGTCGAAAATTTTAGGAATTAGCATCAGAAAAATAGCATTTTTTAATTGATTTTTTTTCATTTCTAGAAATCCTAAGCACTTATGAAAGGAATTGTATTTTAATAGTCTGTGGCGTTTTAATATGGCAAACTTAGAAGGCTTAGAACTTGAAAGAATCAAACGAATCTATTATTTTTCTAAATGTTAACTATACGAAATAAAATAATACGAATGGTTCGTATGGGTGTTTTGACCGAATTAGTTTAGCGAATAACCAAGGCTTAAAATACCGATTGCTCATAAATGCATGATTTCTGCATTTAGGATGGCACTCTTGAATTTTCACTTTATTTTCTATATTAAAGTTACTTGATATGTTACGTTGTTATAAGATAAATTTCCGTAAGATTCCTATGACGTATTTATTTGAAGAATTATTTATTTAATGATTTATAAAAAAGGGTCATATGTTGTCAGTCAAGAGTGCCATCCAAAAATATATCAATTATAATTGTTAATATAATAATGTTGAAGACTTGGCTCGGTACGATTCGTATAAATAACGAATAGTTTTATAACATCGGTATAGGTTGTATATTGTTTTAGCATTCAGTTTCGATGGGGTCAAATAAAATTCTAAGAATGTGTTTGTGCTTTTATTTTAGTTGTATCAATGAACCAGAGGGCGCTTCAAGATCTGCCAGGAAAATATATTTATTTCGTAAAAACATGTTTTTGCGAATAAAGGTATATCCAAAACGACATAAAATAATCATTTTCTTATTTTTATGATAAATATTGTACATCGAAAATCATTCTCGGTACCACACCTGAGAATTACAACAAATTAAAAAGAAAATTTTGTACATCATTTTTTGCCTAGCATGGAAAAGATGTAGGCACCGCAAGCGTGCCGCAAAAAGAGACACCAACGGTTTTTATCTTTTATTATAACATTGTACTGCGTTTAGGTACACTTAACACACTATAAAATAATATTTAACATTCTAAGGATAGTGGAGATACCAATTAAGAATAAATAGATTTCTGTCCAGCTCGAGTTCAGCCGTACTGAGCTGTTTCAGCTGCTTCTCCACCTGAGCCAGTAGGTTTACTTCTGGAGGAGTCAATGTTTCTAACACCTGGAATTTAAATTGTATTGTAATCAAAGGCGTGTTTATACAAGTCAAAGAGTCTTGTCTTAGAATGCAGCAGTTTCTTTGATAATGGATTGATATATATAATTTTTTATACAAAAGTATGTGATTAGCCTAATATGCCCGATACTTTTCTGGTCTAAGAAATAAAAATTTTCCTGAGACGGGGTGTGAATGCCCAAAATCGAATTAGTAGTAAAAAGTTTAACTCACATCATTAATGCTTTCCTCTGTCTCGCTGCGCATGCGCATCCCATGCACAATGGTTCGTACGCGCCTCTGTTTGTCCAAGGCTCGACCGTGCTCCGAGACCAGCTGACTTCGAGCACGGGACAGGTTGTGAAGCGACGAGTAACACATCTCACGACAGACGTGAAGTGCCTGGAGATTGGAGATTTTATATCAAGAAATTAAAAAAATTGTTGTTTTCAACAAAATTTAATAGAACACATATAATATATAAATATTAAAAAACTAATAGAATAAGCACTAAAACTGTCAACTTAACGCAAAATTGGGACCAATTTTAATTAAATTATAACATGTTTAATTTTTGAGGTACACTTTGTATTTAATATCCATAAAATATTAAAGTAATATTGAGTCCCATGATGTGTTTACCAAAAACAGAAAATACTTTCGAAAATTTTGCAACACAACATTGGAGTATGGGACATTATGGGGTAAGGGGCCCAAAATTATTAAAATAGCCTAGACAAATTTACATAGTAAAAACTTTAAAACATACCTCAAATAACTTGACATGATATAAATATATCCCTTTCTGTGTTCCGGACACTTGTTGAGACTTCCTCATCGGCTGAAATTAGCATTATTTCTTCATTTATGACTTTTCATTAAAATAATATAACTAACAGTCAAATCATATTAATTTATTGAAGAATATATTAATTAATTAAATAAATTGTTTGTATGAAGTAAAACAGATACATATCTGGGACTGTATTTCAAAACATACCTCTAGTCTCAAGTACTGTCCAATATATCAAATGTCAAAAATATTTTGACAAGACATTATGGTCTATGGTCGAGACAGAATCTCGATTCAAATTAAAGATAAAGAAACATACCTGTACACTAATGAAATGTTCTTCTAATAATTTGTATGTCAACTGTTTGCACTCCTTATTTGGCAACATGGCATTCTTCTGTATGTCTTCCTCCTCTACATACTTTTTTGCTCTTATCAATCTGAAAATAATATTATTTTCGTAAATTTTTAAACAATTTTTCTAAATAAATGATTTTAAAATAAGAAATATAATAATAGAATATTTATTTTTACTCTATAGTCTAGAACTGTCTTATGAATCTAACGCAGATTATCCATTATATTCTAATCTATTGCCTTACCTAAATATTCTCGCGGCCTTGGAGCCCAATCGCTCGGTAACAACATGATCAAGGACATCTTCAACAAGTACTTTGGCAGCCACCTTTGCCTGAACACAGTATTGTCCTCCCCCCCGCGTCACCCGCGCGACGTATGAATCCTGCCCCGTTCTCTTCTGAAACATTATATTCAGAGTTGTAGTGCACTGCCATGTGAGCAAGCATCTATTTAAGATAAATGCTATGGACGGTCCAGGGTTTGCCTGATAGCAAAGGAAATCATCAGACCAAAAAGACAAATAGACTTCTAAGCTTCTGTAAGGAGTTAAGCTATCTTATTGGAGGGGCAATTGATAACTGTGTATGCTTAGATGTCTTAGGTGGAGAGTAACGACGAATGACGGATGAGGGAAAAACCAGTTCTATTTATGTTAATTTCATAAAGTGGTATTCATGTAGCCATATGTCACATTTAGAGATTAATATCTAAAAACAACTTTTAACTCATGCACCATGATAAGAAACTACAAAGCTCACCCATAACCTTGAGATAATGCTCAAGATGTTGATGTAAGAGGATTTTGTCAGTTAGTCTCGAGCTCTCCCTCAAGTCCGTGACAGGAATTGCATTGGACTCCTCTGCCCAGGCAGCTGACGATAGATACATTTGTTGAAGTAATAAACGCATTACTTCCCCCGCTGAAATATGGTACAAGCTTATATAACACATCAAAATTCTTACAAGTCTCAATGCTGAGTCATTAAAATAAAATTGGACTAATTGCTCCATTTTAACTTATGTACTCATAGATCCCATTTCATCACAGCCAAAACTCAAAATAACTAAAAGTATGTAACTAAGAATAATGAATGCAATCAGACAGATTTTGGTTTTATGAAACCCTTGTTACATTTTTAAAAGAAAATAAATGCTGTTAAAGTCAAATTGGTAAGAAAACTATATCTCATAGTAATTACAACTGCAATTTATGTGTATACTATGGAGTTAATAGAACAGAGATATTGTTAAGGGAATGTTTTAATTATTTAATTAAGAGATATATAATAGAATCAGATTCTATTTAATATTTTATACTTAATTGTAGACATAAAATTAAAAAAAATATTACCTGTATCATCAATACGCCTTGTCATTGCTTTTATCATTATATCATCTCGGAAGTCCTGATGAAATCTGTCATAGTTCACTTTCCAATATATATCTGAAATTTATTTGTTTTGTGTTATTGTAACTTTTTCCTTAAATTAATATTCATTTTAGGAACAGAAACAGTTAAATTAAAAGCTTACTGTCTTTAATGTCAGCTGGATTAGCCATGGCCTGCATAAGAGCCCTGGTATCTAAGTCTGGTACTATTGTAGCTACTTGTACCAAATTAGGAATTTCGGATCCTTCCTTCATTTCTGCCACTGGCGCTTGCTGGATGTATGCAGCAGTTGCCAAGCTGATAAATGTGTCTTTAAGTGTTACTATTGTAAGATTTTTATCCTGTAAACATTAAATGTGCTTGAGCAACTCAAAACATTTTTGAGCAACAACAACAAAAAATTATGGCTATTGTGCCAATATACCCAAATTTAGAATTAGCTCATACCTTATCATCCTTATATTTATTGGCTATGGTGACCAACAGCAGGGTAGCACTACATGTTGCTTGTTGTAATAATTCTTCTATAATAAGTTCTGCTTCTGTTCCATATTTACTTTTCATCTGTAGGAGATATCTAATACATTTAAATATTCATATTAATATAATAACTGAATCATTTTGGTGTCAGAAAATTTTCTGTTAACTAAATTAATTACCTGGGATATCTAATTAGTAGTAATACATTGTCCGGAAGAAGTTTGTAATCCACATGTGGTCCTGTAGCTTCAAATATTGCCAAATCAAATTTCATAAGTGTTCTCAAGCTCTCAATAACCTGAAGTGAATACAAACTAGCAATTTACTTTTCTATATCATATCAATCACTGAGAAAAATTAAAAAAAAATATTTGTGGACATTGTAAAACCCTGATTAAAAAGTAAATATAACCTATAATACCTGAGTTCTCGGAAGACCCGTTGACTTAACTATCATCGCGATTGGTTTACTTCCATACATGAATAGGTCATTCCCGACTTTTTCCACAATTTCACCACAATATCTTTGCAAAATTTGTGCAACAAGGCGTCCTAGTTGATGAGACATTTTCGTTAAGTATGTATGGTGATTTTAAAAATTAATGTAAAAGCCTACCCAAAAAAAGGAACATATTATATGATTTACATTGTTTAATAAAGGCTTAACAAACAATTCGCTTGCAACAACTAAATCATATATAAACCCTAACTTGAAACTTCGAGATAAATTTAATAAACAATAAACATTGATGAATTGATGATTGAACTTCGCTGGTTCTGGGGCTTAGACAAAGTCACTTTTTGACAGGACTACACTTTACAAATTTGTATGGGGGTAGGGGGTCTCGCCTGCCTAAAAGTGATTTTGTCTCTAGTCTCTGGGTTGGTAGAATATACATTATTGCCTATCCACACACTCCATGAGGTGACACAAAGGGCGCGAGCACGACCTCGCCTGGCCTCACCGCCTCTCCGTTTTTGTCAGTTTTTTGGAGAGCGAGCAGGCGAGGCGAAAGAATCAACTACGCTCTCACGCTTGCTCACTTTGTTATTTAACTTCTGCACTGTGTTTTCTTATCATGATGGACTAATGATTTATGTGAGGCTTTTATCAATAAATAAAAAAATATGATTAAATACAGAAGATCTAAACTAAAAAACCACATCTAATAAACTAGTTTTTGATAACTTACATAAGGTTAAAGTACGCAATCTGAAGCACCCCAATGCGCTGTGAGCACTGATTGTACTACACACTGACTTGATATGTTTAGTAATTGTTCTTATAGAATCGTTATACGAACTTAAAACATATAGTTTCATTAGCAGTTAAACCATCACTCAAGACGTGGTTTTTTCGTGAGATACGAATTAGAATATGGGCCCTAACCCTCACATTATAAGAAAAATACCTCGTATTATCTTAAATAAAAGTTAAAATCATTTATTCATATAGGTAACACAATGTACACTTATGAACGTCAAAAAGAAATATATATATGAAATGCTTCTAATTTTACATTCACTGCCAGTTCTCCAATCAAATGCATAGAATGGAAGAGAAGAACTGGCAATAAACTCTCCGCCACTCTTTTTAATCGCCAAGTTTTTTGTTTTACACAACGTTTGTAAGGAGCTGCAACCATTATACCTACCATGTTCCACATGACATCTTAAGTAATAAATAATAATAAAATTAAAAACAAAGATTTGTACTCTATCAGCAGGAGGCATGGTGAAGAAATAAATGATATTTAATAGGACGTTAAAAAAGTATCAAAATTGCATTAAGCATTGTTAAAATCTTCCAACCTTGATTAGGTTAGAACTAAACATATATACTACTTATTTGTACAATAAACTATTAAAGAAAAATAGTTCTATAATGTTTCAGGTAAATACTTCAGGCAATTATGTCAGCCTATGTCTATAATATGACGCGGTTATGAGGAGTTGAGTAACGAGTTTACTATTGTACGAAATCAAGCAGCCAAAAACCAAAGTTCTAAGCTGACGCTGAGGCTCACTTGCTTGCTATTGTAAATATTTTAGTAACTTATCTCTGGCTGGTAAAATACAGAAATGCAGCCATACCCCGTAACGCATGCTATGTATTGACATTTGAAATCAACAGTCATATTCATAATTCAATGTAATATCAAATATGTATATTTAAACAAGTAGAAACTAGAAACAAACATACTTATAATATAGAATATTATCTTCTTTTTATTTATTATTCTTAGTTTTTAAATGTTAGAATTTTTCGATGCATTAAAAATGACTTTTCTTTGTTGTAATTTCAGGAAATTATAAAAATCACAATAAATGACATATTGTTGATAACTTGTAAACTAGTTTATCAAGAAAATAGAGATTTAAAAATTCATTATGAATATACAAAGTGCTGCTATTAACATTTTAAAACGTGGTGTAGAGTTAGATACAAAGAAACGATATACTGAAGCACTAGTTTGTTATCAAGAAGGACTACAAATTCTAGTGGACAAGATGAAAGGTAAAAGAATATATTATTACACATTTTCATAGTTGTTGATTAGAAAACTTCATTCTCTAAGACAATAGTTAGGTAGACAGACTTCTTCATTTAATGATGTGAAAAAATAAACACTTACTTCCTAAGCTGACACTTTACCTGTTGTTTTAGTTCTCAAATACTTGATGGTATAATTACCCCCTTATTCATAAAAACTTACTCAGTATAATTGTTTTTTTTACACAGAACTAAAAAAGAAATTGACTGATATTATATTTGATTGAATTTTTTATGAAGGGAGCTAGACTACCACTACTCAAATGTGATTGTAACTCTGTCAACTACAAATCTCTAATATAATGTACATAATTTACAGGTGAAACAGATGAAGCCACTAGAAGTTATTTAAGAAAAAAAGTAGAAGAGTATATGAATAGAGCTGAATGTATAAAGAAATTAGTTTTAAAACAGAAAGAAGTTGGCCAGTTTCATGAACAGGTTCATATTGAAAATGATTCTACAGGCCATAGCTATAAGACATTATTTGGACGTTTTCTAGATGAGGATGTACAGTTTGTAATTATTGAAGATCCCTACATAAGAAGTTTCCACCAGGTGAGTGACATTGAGACAAAATATTATATCTATATTAAAAGTGATCATTGTGTTTTAGTTATGGTCTTTGGTGTAGTCATTCATTTTAAATACTGCTTGTATAACATAAAACAAGTTCTAGTAATATGTACCCAAGAAACCATTGTTACAAAAACTAATACATAATATCCAGTTGGGGTGATTAATAATTAATCTGTTGTTTAATAGAAATCTAATACAATTCAAATTTCAAGAAGCACTGATGAATATTGTACTCTATATATTTCCTACATCTGTACTTAATCAAATACTTACTATTCTATCTTATTTCTTATAAGCATATGTAAAAATTTGTTTTTAGTGTCAAAATTTTCTTCGTGTATGTGAGTTATTGGTGAAGTCTTGTGATAAACTGAGGCACATAGAACTGTTAACTTCCAAGGATAACAAGTCAGATAAAGACCAAAGCAACTGGCTCAACAACATATCCATTGACCTTCTCAAATATAATGTGCAATTAATAGTAAAATTTTCTGAAACACTACATGATAGACAAATTATGTAAGTTGTATATTATGAACATATTAAAAAGAAAAGCATTGGTTCATAGGTATTTTATAAATGCTAAGCCTTTCTACTTTTCATAACTTTCTTTAATTTTATGTTTTGTGGGATTAAAGATCATGTTAGACTGACATAGAGTATATTCTTGATAAAATTAATTATTTCTTGTTATAACTTCTTTTTCAGCCTTAGTTCTGGATGGATTGTAAAAATAGGCAGAGGTTTAGATTTCTACAAAGCAACTGAGAACAAATTTTGCTTAGGAATGCATGATCTTGATTTAAGACCATGTCATGAGACTACAGTTGACATTTTACACTCAAAGAATGTTAAGCAATCATATGGATGATAGTGTAAGATTTGTATTGTAATTAATATGACACAACTGTCTTGTGATGTGATATGGAGAAAAAGTATTTTTGTAAATGATAATTTTATATAAGCACAACATATATGTATTTTAACTGTGTTTTATATTTGTGTAAACTTAAAATTGTGTTCAAAGTGACTATTTGGAATATTAAGATTTTCAATCAATTAAAGATAATTATAATGGAAAATGATTATTTTTAACCAGTACACTTGTTCTTTGCAAAATAAACTGAAATATAACAAATGAGTGCAAACAAGTATAATTGTCGAAGAAAGGAATAATGTTTCCGGAGTCCAGCCTATTGCATCAAATATTTTAAATAACACGTAATCAATGAAATATGTGTGACATAGCTTCTCTCTCATAGACTTTTGTATCGACGCAATATGTACAATATTAAGATTTTTTTTACTTTTATGAATTTTTAATTTTTTTTTAATACTATAAGGAACAACATATTTTTTAAAATGTGTAATTGGTTTATTTTGGAAATGTGATGTTAAAATAGATAGGAAGTGAGTGACAGTTTTAGAGAATTTATACTTATTATAAAGGTGCTGAAATGAAATAAATAAAAATGCAATGACTGAATAATATACTTTATTTTATACAAAACAAATTTCTTTACGCATTTTATATTACGTATGTATACGACTTAAATCTATATGGTGGTGTCAAAATACTTGATAATTACAAAATTACGTAAATGTTTAAAAATATATCGCAAAGAATTTGCTACAATATGTTGGTATTGGAGGAGCTTATAGAAGAACTCAAAAACTACTACTGGTTGGAAATCCTATGAATGACAATTAAATATGGTTTATAAAGGGGTAAAAATTACCCATCCTCCATTTGATTTAGACAATTAGACAAAGAATACTAAATATTTTGATAATTAATATAAATGTAAGTAGATTTAAGACTGAAAACTACGACTAGCAAATATATTAGTATGGCCTCGATACAGTAAGATAGTCCATAAATAAGAGAATTTTACACAATATTTACACTGTATGGAATGTATTGGCTATATACAAGCTCGATATTGAAAATAATTGGTTCAAAAATAGGTTTTTAAAATTTCATAGTATAATCATAGATGGCGCTTTTCTCAATAAAACTTAACGATAAGTATAAAGTATGGGACAGACACATTTCTGTGTTTTATATTGGTTTTTAGACCAGTAAGTGAACAGCCTATTAAGCACTTGGTTTTAAAGATGTATTTTTTTTTTCTTAAGTACGACGAGGTAAAAATGAACGCACAATTTCTTAACCAAGACTAAAGTGCTCCCCGACAGATGGCGCTATTATCAAACATAACTCTCTTGCTTTGCCGAGAAGAGCATCAGAGATTCCATCAAATGTGGCCGAATCATATCATCCACGTCCTTCTGGTAGTCTTTAAAAGCATCCGGTTGATGTTTGTATATCGTTCTTAAGGCTTTTAAACAATGAATCAACGTCTGGTCCGGGTTTGTATCGACGTGAGGGCGCGTTCTCTGCATCCTAACTAAACGGGTGAGATGGGGAACGCCCTCTAGTTGAACTATTTGTTGGGCCACTTCAGAGACGACGGTGAGTCTGTAAATGTGCATTAATTGTTTGGTTCAAATAAATCACAATAATAGCCTATTACTTTTATTAGACTGCCCGCTGAAGTATTGGGCAACCAATTCAACTTAGGGTCTTTCAAAAAAAGAGCGTACCAATTCTTAAAAAGCCGGTAACGCACTTGCGAGCCTCCTGCCCGAATGCCTATTCGTATTTACGTATACGTATATTTATTACAAGCCTGTGTTGTATGATTCATTGTGAAATATAATAGATTTTATTAGATTACATGGAATTTTGCTTGAACTTTTCCTAATAACTTTTAAAAGGACAATTTTAGCTTAAATCTTCATTAATCAAATATAATAGAACAAATTTAGATAGCGAAGCGCAAATAGCTCGTGAATTTTTTACCTGGATATAGCTTCAGCAGCATGGCAATGCAGTCGATGCTGCGCGCGCATCTCTGCAGCCCTTGGAGCATGCGCGGGCGCAGCTCGGACGAAACACACGAGTGCTACACTGGCTGACGGAATACACGACAGGTGAAGGATCATTCGGTTCACTCGGGATAGTGATGAAAGGAGCGATGCTGTTTGTTCCTGTAAAGGGATTATTTATTAAGAAGAAATAAAGAAAATATATTCGGGCATAACTTTTTGCATCACATTCTACGTTCTACGCCCTTGATTTGAGAACTGGCACTAAATGTAAAGCTAGAAGCATTTCATATACAGTTCTTTTTTTTTTTGACGATCATAAGTGTACATTGTGTTGCCTATATGATTAAATGATTTTTTAATTTTCGAATATTTTGAATTAAAACGAGTATAGTAATAAGTACTCGTTTTAATGCAATTGTATGTTGTATATATTATATAATATCTAATAAAATATATTGCATATCGATCTTGTCAGATATCGAATGCCAGATTTCTATATTTTTTTTGATAGAATGAAACGTGCCTATGGGACGCCAAAAAAGAACAGTCACTGTAGGCCATAGACACCCATTTTTAGTGGGTGCGTTGCCGACCTTTGAGGGAGGAGTATACTCTTACTTTGAACAAGTGGAGATCATATTTCTCAGGGAACACCCCCGCCGGGAGTTAACTACACAGTTTACTAGTTCGCAAAAGGAAGTGTCTTGTGAAGCGGACTGTAAAATACTTCCAGCCATCAAGGTAATGCCGATGAAATGTTGAATTGATACGGCTCGTACAGTGTTGAAACAAGGCAGGAGGGACCAACGCAAACAACAGTACAGTACACTTTGTAGAATACACAAAGAGAGAGATATACGTAAATAAGCCGGCGTAATTTGTTGTACTACCCTCTAGGTACACCAGGTATCCCATCATTCCATTTGTCCATAATTTCCGAAGAACGCGTTTTGGTCAAAACTCACCGATATCCAGATTGATCATTCTGATTAACTAGCTAGATCTGGATATCCATAGTTGCCCTCACACTTTAAAATAGATTTTCGTTTAGTTTTTGTAATTTTGATTGTTTTGTTTAAAGGTGGGAACTGACCAAAGTTACGAGGTGTAATGTAGCATTCGCATCGAGCGTGTTATGCATCGAGCATGTTACGCTGTGTTTTAAAATCGGCGTAACATGCTCCTCAAAACTCTGTGCTCCGCTTTCCCGACAGCGAGGATGTGTTGATATCTTTCATTCTATTTAATTATTGTTTCATCCAAATTAAGAAGAAGAAAAAATGTTACTGGACATCAAACTTATTTAAAAACACTGCCGTATGAGGTGGTTTGTTATTGATTGCAATATTAAAAAAACCAAATGATTACTGGACAGTATAAAAACTTTGTATGCATGTCTCGATTTTGAAGACCTGTTGAATTTAATTGGACCAAAAGTACTTAAAAAAGACATAATTTATAGAAAATCATAATCATGATCACTCGCGACATGCGACGCGTACTGACTGAACCGCGTAACAGTCAAAGGATTCGCCGAAAAACCGACAGCCGGGTGGAGCACTCTAAGCGAGCTGGTTTCCCTGTAACACGACGTACTGACTGCACGAATGCTCGCTGTGTAACGTGTTACATTACACCTCGTAACTTTGGTCAGTTCCCACCTTAATATTTGTATTATATCTTCTAGTGTTGCCCAAATGCAAGACCAAGACGAGACTTAGGCCAGTCTTGGTATTGGTCTCGCGTCAATACACCTGGTCTTGATCTTGGTCTTGGTATTGCGCTCTCAGTCTTGGTCTTGGTCTTGATCTTGCAGCAAGAGTCTCGCAAGTCTCGCAAGACTTGCAAATACCTATTAGCCTATTGCTATTTATTGAACACGTTAGTTTAGATTTTAGATTATGATTCGCGCTGTAAGACGTATGTAGTTGACTCTGTAACTACATACGTCTTACAGCGCGAATAATATTTTAATCAACAATCTAGCCCTAGCCTGCAAATTGCAAAAAAAAATTGAGTTTGGCGGGCTATCCTATGCTACCTATGCGGCCAAAATAAGGAAGTGCGTGTGTGTTGAGATTAGCAGATTTCATTACAGTGTGCGTAGGTACATTTTTTAGGCAATTTGTCGTTACTCGTGACTGGCGCGCTTTGCTACGTAGGTACAGTCGTTAAAGTATGTGTAAGTGAGAAACGATGTAGGTACCTACTTCAACAAAATTGTATTCCTTAGAAAAATATCGACGATTATTTTTATTTATTTAGTAAATCATCGCTGAAGACAATAGTCGCTACTAGAGTAGGTACGATAGAAGTTGATAAATCGACACTGCAAATCTCGATTTTTGGAAGTGTGTGATTTTAAAACAAAATGCGTAAAGCAATATGACGTCGCTCATATTTGGAGCTTTTCCACGTTTCAAGTTTGTTAAAATCACCCACTTCCAATTTTGCAGTGCAATGTTCTTTAAAAAAAGGTATAATAGGTAATAATAATAATAATATAAACTATATTTTTATTACTTACAACAATTTTTATAATATCTACCTATCCTTACGACTACAATCTTCCTTGCGAGGACAACATAATCTATTTGTGTCCGTTCTGAGCACCCGGAAACTTATTTTATTCTTTGGGACATGGGCAGTGGCGGCGACCTTTGACATGAAAGCGACGGCGGGGACACAAAGTCTAGGAGCGGACTAAATTTTTACCTATTTTGGTAGGGTTGTCAATGTTGGCATTAGCACAGAAAAATAAAATTAAGTAAACACAACGTTTATCAACTTTTTAATAACTAGGTATCCACGATAGAATATTTTTTCTACTAATTTCCTAAGTACTCCGTCTAAATATATTTTTCAATAATGTGTTGTGTGTAATTGAATGGTAAACTCTAAATCTTACTTGAGAGCTTTTTTTTTAAATAAACTTATGGAATGCACTGACATGGCATAAACACTTTTCAATTATGCTGCTTACATTTTAGTAACTAGGTATATCACTCACTATCTATCATTTACCGATATTAACAATGATTATTTTGAAATCAAAATATTCGCAATTCAATAGATGCAATACCTACTTAGTTATTAATTATCATCTCGCCCGACAGCTTTAAACGCTGTAGTGTTCGAATTCGAGCCAGTGTGAGAATGTATTTAAATACAAGAAACTCAGAGCATTCAATTTATACCTACCTACTGCTGAGACATCTTCAAGGTCATTTAATTTTATCCTCCTGTACCAACCCTACCAAAATAGGTAACAATTTTGTGTGCCTCTGTCCGGACTCTTTGTCGGCGAATGCGGCGCTCAAACAGTGTCAAATGCTGTGATACACTCGTTGCAAACCGCGGCCTCTTTGTCGGTAAATTATCAAATAAGTAGGTATATAATACACCGACCGACCAACAGTTTATTCGCAGAACGTCACATTTTCCCAATCAACCTTGAACCTTAATTCTTTAGCGATAAAGTTGAAAATCTGTTAAAGAAATTTGACAGATTGTAGTAGCTTGATGTGCTGGCGTCTGTACCATAATATTGGCTGCCGTAGAAACTGTTACTAGACCTACTCGACTCGCAGTTAGTTTTAAATTTTGCTAAATAGAAGAATAATATAAACTTTGAAACATAAGTAGGTACCTACATAATGTTTATATAATTTTGTTGGCTATAATTTTAAGCACATACCAACCTACGAGTACTAACGTTAGATCTGCACATTAGACATAAACAAGCATAATATATTATTATAGGTTAGTTGATACCTACAAGGTATGATCTTTGCTAGAAAGTTATTCTGGGTAAATTTTATCACATGGGATGATGGTAACAGATTTGTGAGTATTAACACGCTACCTACTTAATAAATTGTTGAAATATAATAAGTACTTCCCTACCTAATCAATACAATACCTTTCAGTGTTCTTTCAGACGAGCGGCACGTTTAATGTTATGACGATACCAACGGTTTTAATCGTCTCTCAAAATCGGGATTGAAACCAAATACCTACTTAATAACGCCCAAATCTCAGTTTGTCTTAACTGCAAGACGCAAGAGTCTTGCAGGCTTTAGTATTGTCTTGCTCAAGTCTTGCAGGCTTCAGTCTTGGTCTTGGTATTGCTACAATAAGGCGGTCTTGGTATTGGTCTTGCGAAAATGCAAGAACAAGACCAAGACTGCAAGACCAAGACCGATTTTGGGCAACACTAATATCTTCGTGTATGTCATGTTTGCCTATAAGTGCTTGTCACATTAAGGGTATGTTTCACAATGTATGGATAAAGTACCAAATAGCTATGCAACACATAAATTATTTGGAAGATAAATTGTGCTATTTGACATTCATCGGACTCATAACTTATGATGGACTTTATGTGACGAATAGCGCTATTTGACAGTCGTGAAACGCAACAATAGTGTTTATCCTAACAATAAGTAATAAATAGCTAATTTGGAACTTATGTAGAACTTATCCGTACATTGTGAAACAGACCCTAAAAATTGTATATTGTGGTTCTTTTACCAATGTATCAGTGTGCCGAGCGTTGGCAAGCTTTTATCAATGAAATAAAAATACTATATCTATTAAACCTCCCTTTTAAGTAATAGCACATACCTGTAAGAACACAGAAATATTCGGCCCACGACGTTTAATAGCATCAAGGAGACGCTCAACGGTACGGTGACGTGTCAGCACTTCTATGATGTCAGAGTTGCTAGATTCCTCTTTTTCCAACTCCAGTTCGCGGACTAAGTTCACGAGACAAGCTGTACATAGTAACAGAAGCTGGCAACACTCGGTTCGGAAGAGCAGGCCTGCAAATAACATTGAGAAATTTATTTCTTCAATACGATATTACAGTCAATAAATAATAACGACATCTAAGGGACTAGTCATATTTGGTCGTAAAACCGATAGTCGTAACAGCCGATGACGATGTTATTAACGGCCGAATAACCTATCTCAATCCATAATCCACCAGCTGAGATAGTAATCTTAATCCAACGACAAAGAGCATTTTATCCGTCGAAAAATTGGATTGTCTTCGTAGGGTTTGGTTATTGGGATGCACATAGGTGATTGATCGACTGTCACGGTCTGATCTCAGATTGAAAACAATTTATTTCATTGTGGATTAATTATTGGGTCCGGGCGTAAGTACCTAATAATTATTATTGAATGGGATTTCAGTCAATATAACCGGTATGTTGTACTAAACGATGTTGTCGTAAACGGTTTTGACTGTATTTTTGTAATAAAAACAGGACCTACCTAGTAAAAAAACAAAAACGTACGTCTAAAGGCGGAAACATACTACCAAAACGCGACGCTACACCACGCCATCCGACGCATGTCAGTACTTATCAATCCAATATATTTAATATGGTCAGATGCACATAGACAACACGCCATGTGATCACACGCGGTAACATCCAATCGATTTGGATCGGCGTGTTGTCGTGTTGTTGACGCCAAGCGTCAAACGTTCGAGTTTTTGGCACAAATGTCAATTGTCAGCTAAATGACTTCTAAATTTGCAAGTGTGTCGTGGTGTCGCGTGTTGGTAATGTGCACGATGGACATCGGGTGTCGACACGTTGCGTCGCGTGGCGTTTTAGTAGTATGTTTCCACCTTAACACATACATACTGTATTAAAAGTTGACTTAATATTTATTTCCAACGCACGAATATACAGTATTAACAATATTCTAATGAGACCATGGCAAGTGGCCGGACGCGACGTGCTTTGGTATGGGACGCTACTTGTGTGGACACACGTTGGCCCAGTCTCTCCTCGCTCAGACAAGCAGTCAGAAGATAATAAACGGCTCAAATATAAGTCTTTCCTCCAACTTCAATTTTGTTCCCTTTGGAGTACAGACTCTTAGGCCGTGGAGTTAACTTAATAGTTATAAAATATAGGTTAGAATAATATTCAACAGCATCAACACTAAATTACTAATGTCCCGATATAAAGAAATATGATTTTTAATAAATTCGTTTTCTAAGCCAGAATCAAAAGTCGAGAGTGCGTCGTTTTAAGAATTGGTACGCTCTTTTTTTGAAGAACCCGTAAGTCTAATTGGTTCGGAAATACTTTAATGGGCAGCTGGTTCCACATAGTGGTGGTGCGCGGTAAAAACTGCCTTTAAAAACGCTTAGGAGTGGAACGACGTACGCCGAGATAATACGGGTTAAAATAATATCGTACAATATATAATTTCATAAATTCGCTATGGGCTACCTAAAATCTACACAGAATTCTAATTACTGACAATTACTTACCAGTAATATTATTCACGATCGTGTTCAAATATACATGTAGCTGTGTTAAGTCGTGGTGACCCCTCAACCACGGCGCAGTGATTTGAGTCAGAACAGTGATCGCCTCACGCATTTGCGGCTCCGGGTTCGATTCGTCTGACAGTATATCCGACAAGATTTCTATACCACCGCCCTGAATAGTATGAAAAAATATTTTTAAATTGCGAAAATTTAATTAATATTAGTAACAATTTTCACTTTGTAAAATTGGTAAAAAAATATAAATTTAATATTAGATTTTTGAAGTGAAACTTCCTTAGGCGCATGAGGGTATAAATTTTACGGAACATCACGAAGATGTGCAGCGTTTTTTTCAAAGAAAAGGGAGAGAGCGATTGAGACCGATTGAGAGAGGGATAGAATTTCTAAAAGGGTGAATTACCTTATAGAAATTCTATTTTTAAAATTAAAATTTCCTAAAGAGAAATAATTTATTAAAATCTCAAATGACGAATTGTAAATAAAAATGCCACGTGTTTTTCGAGAAATAAATTAAAAAAAAAATATTATTTGTATTAATTTTCGACACTTAATATTTTAATGACAATTAAATTAAATAAATTCCTAACATATCTTCCTTTTCCCTCCCTCAAGTCTCGGAAATCTAAAGTTTTAGATTTGTATAAATATTAACAAGACTTAAAAATTAGTTTGCCAAAGAAGTTTCACTTCTGACATGTATACTTTGTACGCACGCACTTTTTTTTGTAAGGGGGCAAACGGGCAGGAGGCTCACGTGATGTTAAGTGATATCGCCGCCTATAGACACTCACATTGCCAAAGGGCTCGCAAGTGCGTTGCTGGCTTTTTATTTAGTTAGTAGTAAGTTAACAATAAACGTAAATAGTAATTGGTTTATTACTAACAGGAACCGAAAATAAATTATCAAAATTATGATTTAGTTACTACATTTGTATATCTGCGTGATAACATGAACCAATTACGACTCGTAATTGTTACGATATGATTTTCACATTAAACATATATATTAACAAAAACTTTTCATCTAGGGCATATAGACTAATATTATATGTCCTTTTCTGATGAGACATTTTACGAAAGAATACATAATAAGTCATAACTTATAAGTGTTTTATCAAATATTCAACATTGGAGCTGTTTTTCAGACATGTCAATGATAAGGGTATCTTAATTTTTAAGGTACTTTTGTTTAGTGTATTTTATGGCAATCACATTTCAGATATTTTGTACTTGGTTTTAAACGCGTTTGAAACAATTTAGCTGATTTAAAAAGTCATATGAAATCGTTCTCTCTCGCAACTTCAGTAAAAACTCACCTCTTCAAACTGTTTGATAGCTTCACCCGTAATACAAACAGTAGCTAACGCCCTCAAAGACAGAGCTTTAACAGAACTTTTATTTGACTCAATAATAGCTGTTAAAAGCGCCCGGGGCACCCCACAGTCCACGAATGGCAGGTCGGTGATACTCTTGATGATCTTCGTGCACTTGTCGTGAAGATTTCCCTCGGTATTACCACTTAGCATAGCCAAGTGGCCGATTGAAGTAAGTGTGCTTTTCAAAATCATGTCCGACGGTGGCTCTTCGATTATTGAAACCAGTGTCTGAAGAAAAGAATTATAAAGTTGTAGACTGTAAAATTCAATTTAATCAAATAAATTGAATTACAACAGGCCTCATTAGGTGATTTTATAATAAGTTATTTGGTTTTGTTACAATTTTTTGGAGGTCGACGAACGAATCTAAGAGTAGGATAAAAAATATTGTATTTGGTAAAAACAATTTGTTATGGAATTAACAATTCTTGGCTATGGGTTCCCAAATCTTACACATTGTTATAAATATGTATTAACAAATTTTAATTTTAGGATAAAAGGTAAAACATATCAGACCGACCTATGTTAAAGCTATCCTGTGTGAGATTGTAAAATAAATGAAGTAACAATAGCACGTTTCATTAGATTAAGGAGAAACAATAATTGTATTGTTGATCTATATTTATATACATATATAGACGCAATACCATCAGTGAAACTGACGAAGAACTGCAAAGTCATCAAAGACACAAGGTTTGATAATATAATTGTAATAATATAATAAAAAATAAGTGTTATATACAGATATATGAAATGTTTATCTAAAATGTTGTTTATTGTAAATAACAACTAAGGATTCAAGTTTCTTGTCGATTCCTGGTGCATAAAATGAACCTAATCACGATTACAGCTCAAATAGGGTTCTCCCCCAGAGGTATAGATTTAACCATTTATTTAGCAAGAATAGCTGTAATCTTACCTAAAACTATAACCTAAGACATTCAAATGAATGCCAGGTAAAAAAGGCCTAAGTACCTATATAGTATAATGAAAAATTATCACGGAGATAGACAGTACATTCTAGCGACTGTTTTTTTGTTCTTTCTGCCTCTTTACGCTGTTATAAAAAATCATCTACACAGTCACATACACACACTAATGCTTTTTGTAAAAAAAATTGAGAGAACAGTTAAAAAAATATCAAAATTGTAATATTCACAAGCATACCCTCAGACGCATCTAAACTGAATAAACGTATTTTGATTTGATTTGATTTACACATTGTAATGCGTTGTTATAGTGAAGCAACACATTTTAAATCAGTTCTAAAGAGAATATTAATTATTAAGTACTTTGTATTCGTATTTTTATTTTGGCAGCCCTTATGTCACCCCAGGGAAGCCGGATTCTCGAGCGTCCAATGAATATTGCATGCACAAAATATTATATAGAAGCTCATTCAGATTCTACGATACGGCGCAACCTGCATCTTAATGATTTAAACGCTGGGACCTAGTTGGTCAAGTGGCTAAATTACATTACAATTTTATGCGTAACTCCTTACAATTTAAATAGCTTTGTAAAGTAACTACGAAAAGTATTAATGATTGTCAGAGAATTGTGTGTATTTTTTAGAAGTGTGAATATAAAATATATTAGACATTTATTTTTCGTATGTGAGCACTATGTATCTACATAATAATTAAGTTATCTCCTGCATGGTTTTTATAACACAATGCGCTTATTTTACTATATTAGTTTTTTTATTATTGTTTGGTTATGTATACATTGTCTTCACAAATCAATGTATACAAAATATTGTAAAAACTATTTTAAAAGAGAGTAAACTAACTTAAACATTTCTTTTTTTTTAAACAATTTTTTAACTTTTTAAATTTGTTTTAAATTTCTTTTTAATAATTTTTAAAAGAGTAAGTATGGAATCTTTTGCCCATTTTTCTCCATTGAAACTACCTTTTGGATTTTTTAAAATATTTTTAACTTGTAATTTTGACTTTCAAACGTGTTAATAAGCCTACTTGAAATAAATGATTTGACTTGGATTTTGCAAATTTTTGTTAACATTTCCAACATAATTCCCATTTCAGGTCAGAAATTACGGATTCCTATATTTTTAGTTATTACAGTGATATGGGGTAACAAATAATATTTTATATGACTGAATATGCTTTGACACTAAACGACTAATTTAATATTTAGCCAATATTGTAACTTAAAGAATACTTACAGGACCTATGATTTTTAATAAATAAATAATTTATTTATTATTTACGCTTTTTGCAGAATTGTTAAAATACCGACTAAAACACAAATTCACATCGCGAATTGCTGACATGGGGAAAATACCGATCATTTACGTGATGTTTTACATAATATCCGATTCACTGTATTGACAATAGACGTTGTATGATAAGAAATGGGAAATGTTCAATATGAAATGTTTCATCAACTTTCATCATCATTCATTAATGTCTGACTTTACTTAGAGTCGTTCATTAAGAGATTAAAATGAGTTTACTTAAGTTAAAAAAAGAGCGTTCGCTTTCGCTAGCTTTTCTAATCCGATGTATAATAGATAATAGATTCTTAAAGTATTTTCTAAACATATTTGTTTGTTTATACCAACAATCTTTCATAAAGAATATCATTAAGATCCATTGATATGATGAAACTGAACAGAACGTGCTCCAGAATCCGTGTTAAGCAAAAGAAATTAAAAGATTATTACCTTCATCTGCTGAACAAGAACAGCCTTTGTTGTTTCCAAGAAGATACCGATCAACGTATCTATATGTTTCTCGACCAGGTTCCACTCGGGACAGGACTCGTTCAACTCAATCTTGACGTCCTCACCTATATCTATTAACTTCTGCAAATACAGCTGCAAGGACATTTTGATTTTGTCCCATCTCTCTGGCGTTTCGCCTGGGGGCTTCGTGTTTAAGGTTATACTATGTGCCAGAACGAATTCATTGATATTTGCGACTAATAGGCATATCTGTTCTTCGCTGATTTGCTTCAATTCCATTTGCCTGTAGAAATATATAAATCTTGATTAATCTGGTATTATGAGTGAGAGCAGTGTTGGCGTAGTGTCTTCAACGTGCGACTGTCATCCCTGGGGTCGTAGGTTCGAATCCCGGCTGGGCACCAATGGACTTTCGGTCTATTTGCGCATTTAACACTCGCTTGAAGGAAAGCCTCGTAAGGAAACCGGCATGCCTTAGACCCAAAAATCGATGTAGTCTGTACTTGCCTATTAGAAATGATCACCGAACAGATGCAGAAATCTGAGGCCCAGACCTCAAATGTTGTAGCACCATTGGTATATATATATAAATCTGGTATTATATACTGATTCGAGTGATAGACATAATATTTAGCAGGAGAGATCACTCTCTAACAAAATAGAATTTCCAGAAGTTGTCATTTTTAGTATTTTGGTTATATCGGAATGTCGTAGGAAAATCAACGGAATGACCCCACTGTCATACACATGCCTTTGAAAAAAGGATAGTTTTAACTTATTCGAGATGTCGCAGCTTGTAAATATACGTATAAGGAAATTGTTATGCTAATATGCTTGCGTACATTATATACTAATTGTAATTACTTAATATCCTGTTTGTTAATTGATATTTTATTTTAAATACCTTATGGTAATTCATAGTCATTTAATCTAAAATTATTACATCTGTACTTAGCTGATATTTCATGGATATAGAAAAATAGTACAGGTTTTGGCTATAAAGATATTATTCAATTTTTTTAATCAGGTACCTTTATAATACAACCATTCATTCAGATACCAAACATAAAAATGTTTTGAATTATTTACGGCACATTATTGGACAGTAATGGTCTAACTAACGCGTAAGCAAAAAATAAATTACCTCAAGACGTCACTGTACTGGTGGACTATAATCTGACCGTGAGTTTGGACTTTTTTGATGTTCCCCGTAATTGTTGCTGAACTGGCCGAGACTAGTGCTTTCATTTCTGCGCCTAACGGCTTGCTTTGCAACGTCGTCATACACTCGTTCTCGCAGGAACCAACTAGGTCACATAACCAATACTGCACTGGCTCGGGCTTCCGGTCACATAATCTCTCCAAAGTCGTCTGGTCTATACTCCTTTCTCTATATAGTATCTCGTTTTGATTATTCAATACAAGCCTGTGAAAGAAACTCTTGTTAATTACTGCAATTATGACAACAAAGCTTACAGTTAATGTTGCGAAACTTACCCGCTGCTATTGAAGTTCTCTAATAGGTTCACGCGTCTCACATTTTTGGAACCGCTTTGGGCGCCGTTCATGTAGTCTTGAGGCGCCAACATTTTTGGTGTGGAGGTACAAGCTAAGTCTAGTTGTAAATCGGCAAAATTCATCTCTTCATCTTTTAATTTTTCTCGTTTAGTGTCATGCGTTAAACTTTTATTGATTTTCGTGTTTGTCTCATACGGTGTCTTTTGCTTATCTTGGAACTCCAGCGGTGGTGTGACCTTTCTAAATTTGAGACTCTCGTCACTGCTTGATTTGTCTTTGTTGGCTTGTAATTCACTTTCAGTACCAATTAGCCTTTCATTGTAGTGAGGTATCAGCATTTCTTTTTGTGGGTGGCCTACGATCACCCATGAGTTTTGGTCTATTGTTCTGGGTAGGCCAAGAGCTGGTACCCGACTTCCATCGAGTATACCACCAGCTTGATTTTCTGCTACTTCAGTTTTACCTTTTTTCGATGGAAATATCCTTAAAAGATCTTTTGTCTTTTCTTTGGCTGCCATTCTTTGTTTGGCTTTGGGCCCAGCTTTCTTTGTTGGCTTTAAATGCAAGCTATCCAATATATTCTTGGCTAGTATGGCTTTCGTGGGTTTGTGCATTTGTTCTTTTGGATACATTTTCTTTTCTTCCTGTAAATCATTCTCATCAATGTATCCTAAAGAATGGTACCCTTCGTGAATGTCTAATATTTGTTGATCTAGCCTCTGTGCTTCAAAGTTTAATGATTGATTTAATCTGTTTCTCTGAAATTTGGGTGTTGTACAGATTGGTGTTTCATCTTCATTTGACATACTTCGCCTGTATTCAGGTTTGACAGCTATAATTCTTTCAGTAGGTACATAAGAGACATTAGAAATAGGTGTTCTATTTCTTGGTTGATTATTAACTGCTATTTCATTATTGTGAGCCAATTTGATATATTCCAAGCTATCATCTGATTTATTTTTACTTGTTTCTAAGTCCTTCACTTTCGCTACTTTGCTGATTTTAGTGCTATCCGTACTAGAAACAAACTTTTTCGGAGGGTACTTTTTTGAGGGGCTTAATACATTTAAGTTCTTATTAATTACAGATATATCTTTGGTATCTTTTTCTATTGCACTTGTATTTAAATTATTTTCTTTATTACTAATATTGTTAGTAGATTTAGGACAAATAATTTTGTCACTACTTTTATTTCTGTTATCATCCGGCAACGGGCTATTCATATTCTTTGGAGAAGGATACTTACTTATTTCGTCATTGTTATTATCTTTTAGGAGTTCCAAGTGCTCTTTATCGTGATGTACTTCACAATATTTTTGAAGATCATATGGAGTCTGTATAACACTGCTACTGCGTAAGCGAGGTTTCGGTGTTGGCGTCACTGGACTATTTGTGTTTGGACTGTCAGTAACATCTTGACTCTCAAAATCTATAGCTTGCTTAACAGTGATATTTTCATTATTATTCGAATCATTACTACCAGATGACTTATTTCTGTCAGAGTTATCCGGTGATGAATAATACTGTGAAACTGGCGGAGAACTATCAGAATCGGAGAATCCGGAGTCTTGGCTTTTGTGACTGCCAGGACTGCCGTGACGTAACGGCCATTGGTTGGGAGCATTGTTCGCTCTTGCTATGTTATCAACGCTGTTGTTTCTTTGTTCGGGTTGGTTAGCGATCCAGTGCGGCAATTGAGGCTCCCAATTTTGATCTGCTCGGTTATTTGGACTCCAAGCAGGTTCAGCCACAGGACTGCTGACAGTCGGTGGTGAATCACCCCACCACACCTTACTTCTTGTTCGTTGAAAATTCGACATCCTGCAATAGAACAAAGACTTGGGTAAATGACTCGTGGGAAAATTGGTAGGTTAATGATCGGTTGGAGTGACGTAATTCCTTGGTCCATTATGTGTGACTACGATTGAGGTGCGTGGTGCATGATGCGTGTCGATCATAGCTTAAATTGTGTAGCATTACTAAAGTGTTATATTATTATTAAATATTATAAGAAAGAGACGTATGTATTAATACAAAGCACGGGCTGGCAGATGTTTGAAACCGTTGCTGAACCTATTGTGTCTAAGTACGAGGGCTTGGAGTGTTTTCATCGGTCGTGATTTCATCTCCCCTCGTGTTTGACTTAAAACTCTATTAACAACCACTGATTCGCAAAGTTGTCAAAAACGCAATCATAAATGTAAAAACGATACAATAGAAAATGTGACTCAATTTTCTGATTCATTCGCACCTGAATTGGTTACCGGATAGAGATACATGTTTTCTTAACTCGTCAGCAACGTATTTCCACTTATACGAGAATGTTTAGCAATAAAATTTCACAGACACAAAATCAAACGCCTATTATGTGCAATATCAGAGTTTATTAAATGTAATGTTGTGGTAATCGTCAAGCCTAGTAAAGCCATTTTGTCATGGTTACTCCATAACATTTTTCAGATCAGATTTCAAAACCAGTACTAACCGGTATGTGTTAACTGAGAAAAAATATTTGTTAATTTATAAATGTTTTTACTATGACTGTATATGATTGTTTATTTATGACTTTACGAATTTATAGCCTTAATTTCTTTGGCTTTTTTTGAGATGGCATTAAAAACATGACGCACAGACTCGACCTATAAGGGTTCGGTTCTGTTCATCGATAGCAAACAACGTCTATGGTGAGAGAACGTTGAGGTATTTGCTACCGAGGGTAATAAATCCGGTCAGTTATTTGATATGCATTTGTCGCGCTCCTAAACAAGACTATGGTTACTTTAATATAAACAACAGATGTTTTAATGTAACGTATCATGATTTTATTATATTATTCTGTACAATAAAAAAATCCGTGTCAGTATTTCAATAGAAGACACATAAATAACGATTGGATTATTAAATCATCAAATCTTTTACGAAAACTATATTCTTATAAACGATTTGATGTTTATACATATTTATTACAATATATACTTAAATATACAGTAATAATTATCTTTATTCTCCACGCATTTTATGCTATATTTCTTTTACGCAATCAGGAGTTATGACAGTCTAATGGACTCCGTTTAGTCGGTTAACTAAATACTTGTGTAATTAGTTAAATTAGGTTCTATTAGCGCTCATTATTAACTGATAATTGGATTAGATACTTGGTCAAGGGATCCATGGATTGGATAACACAATTTTGAAATATAAAGCATATAAATTATATTAACTATGATTTATTCTAGGTAAAATTTAGATTCAAGACAAAATTATTGCTAAATACAAGATGTATACGGTATACCCTACGTTCACATTATACTACGTGAATTAAAGATAGGGAAATGCTCAAGATAGAGAGAAATGGACCCAGTTGGAGAAGGCCTATACTCTATAAGTCTTTGGAAAAAAATATAATTTATTTATTATTTCTCTATAAAATGTGAGTATCTTTTGTAACAGTGAATTAATGTTTTAAGGATTAAATGAGGCTTTTAATATTAATAATACGATACTACACGAATTCAAGTTTGGGAGAAAAATGTTCAAGATAGAGAGAGATTCTCTATAATAGGTCCTTGGAAAAAAGATACACACACTTAAAATTTCTATATAAAATTTAAAGTGTGTATCTTTTGTAAAGGTTGATGAATATTTCAAGGCATAAAGGAGGCTTAATTGTTATTATTATACTATGCGAGTACATATATTTTACTAAGCATTAAATTGTCAAAATATATAACTAATAAAAAAAAAAGGTAAAATTCGTCAGTCATCCGTATATCACACCAGTGTTAAATCAAATTATAAAAGTTATAACCGTCACTTATAAATCTCAAGTGCCCTCATATTCAAAACGCTTTTCGTTTATTTTTTATTATTCCTTTGTTTTAGGTGTGAAATGAAATTTTTATTACGATTAATTCGCATTATGAGGGCGCTGTTGTATGCGGGATAACGTATAACTTAGGTGTAGTTCTAATTTTGTATAGGCCTACGAGAATTTTCAAAGGAAATGTGGAAATCTAAGGCGAAGAGTCTAAGGGTAAATCTAATACGTTTTTGACAAACTGGAGTAATACATACATAGCGTGAACTATGTGGTTTCTGAATCTTACCGTGACGATGACTTTGTTATAAATTAAATGCAAAACCAGTTATGCATGTTTGACCGGAAATTATGAAATCCACTAAACATTTAAGTTAACAAACGGTACATTGTCAAAATGATTATTATCTATGGAAATTAGGCAGTAAAACTAACTCATGGAAAAGCGGGAATGTGTTTTATTATAATATTCATTGCCTCCGTGGCTTAGTTATTAACAGATATTGCATATAAATCCGTGGTCTTGACAACCTATTTAGGTCTGGCTATCAAATTTTTAAGTATCTGTTTCATGATCATTTGTCAATCTAATAGGCAAGTAGCTGATCAGCATCCTGTGCCTGACATACGCCGACGACTTTTCGGATCTAAAGCAAGCCGGTTTCATAATGTTTTCCTCCAATATTCGAGCGAATGTTAAATACGCACAAAGAAAGAAAGTCCATTGGTGCCCAACCGGGAATCAAACATGCTCTATATTTATAATTATTTTCCATTTTATCGATACATCCTGTATGCTAGTAATTCCATTATTATGCTTTTAATGTAATTTTTTACACAGTAACAGTTATGTGGCTATAATTATTGTCTTTAACACTTTCATAAGACAAAAAAAAGAAAACAAAGAAATAACAATGAATGATAAATATAGTAAAAGTTAAAAGTATAAAAACAATAGAAAGTGTTAAAAAATATGAACATACATATGTATACATAGAAAGATCAACAAGACCGTTAATAACTGAAGTAGGAAACATGTATAACCTTAAACTAAGATAAGTTGGGAATTTTATCAGGAGTCTTTGACCTTCCGAGGCCCTTGTCGACTTCCTCAGTATTTGATACGCTTCAGTGACAACAATAGTGCAATTTGCTTATTCAGCTGGTTGACATTGAATATTGAATTTTGGTAATCGCCTTCATGTAAACAGAAAAAAAGTATATGGAGCCGTAAAGACTTTATGTTTTGAAGCTAATCATTTTGTATGATATTTAAAACGTAAAACGCTTTAATATTTCTATATTTTAATATGCTAATTCATGTTTAATTAACGGCTTTTGAAAATAATGAGATATCGCATCGCAAAAGGCCTTTAAATAACAAAATTGTATTTTTTTATGATTGAATTATGTATATTTAGTAGAACCGTTTTCTTACAGTTCAGTTAAACGAGCTCGGAATGTTTATGTTTACTAGTTAAAGTGACAAACTATTTAACTGTTTAATCTCGTTCATATGTTAAAAATTCTTTTGATTTGAAATTAATCATTTATTTATAATTTTTGTTAGTTATTTCGACTGTGTAGTTCCCACGGAAATGAAAGTGCGTGCGCCTATTTCACCATGCCTCCTGCTGATAGAGGACAAATCTTTATTTTTAATTTATTATATTATGATTAATTACTTAAGATGTCATGTGGAACATGGTGTAATGGTTGACTTACAAACATTGTGTAAAACAAAAAAATTGACAATTAAAAAGAGTGGCGGAAAGTTTATTGCCAGTTCTTCTCTTCCGTTCTACGCCCTTGATTTGAGAACTGGCAGTAAATGTAAATTTAGAAGCATTTCATATATATTTATTTGACGTTCATATGTGTAAATTTTGTAACCTTTATGAATATATGATTTTTAAATTTAACGTGTGCGTAACTCATCTGCAGTAACTAAAAAAATGTTTCGCAGGAAATCGAATCCAACTACTCTGGGCTTGTGTTTCAACCGTCTAAGCTAAGGCTGGGGTGAATTCCGGACAAGTAGATTTTAAACAAATGCACACGATATCGTGGGGTTTAGGCATGATCGTAAAATAAGGTCATACAGATATTTAATTCGGCATTAATAACACCATACACCGATCGTGCAACAGAGAAAGCATGACTAAATTATACAGGCGATGACACATTTACATCGCTCCAATGGTTACGACATGGCTTTATAGGAAAACATTATTCTTAGAACACATTCATTGCGCAGATTGATTTGTGATATATTCTTTAACATTATGAATATGAAAGAATCGACACGAACATATTTAAATTGGTATGATCTGACTAATTAAAGTAGAAGGTGTTAGTATGTTCTAGTGCCTTATTTACACTTTACACACATTTTATTTAATTCCAAAAGAAACTTAAATAAGAAACTCTTATTTATTGTTATTTCAACATAATGTTTGTTAAGTAGATATGCATTACAATGTGTAATATTTAGGAACCCTTTTAAGTTAAAATTCCTGTGTTCCCGGCTCTTAAAACCATTTTTATGAACAATTTTAAAACTAGTAACACGAATTTAATAAAGTTATATAGTCTAATATACATAAATTTATTTTATAAAAACCAAAACTATTGAAACAGGTGCAAAGGTACGCAAAACGAATTATGGACTTGACAAATCATTATAAATTTTACACTACAGAAATGTAAGTCGACAAATCTCCGCGTTATAGGGAGGAAATGCCGTTATATGGGGGGCGGACATTGCGTTATTATATTACGAAGAGGCACCGCGTTAAAGGCGTACCACGTTATATGGTGGATTGGTTATTTATAGTATATATATAATATGTGATTATTTTTTTTCTGTTTTTTAACTTATTACTAATTTTTCACAGCAAACGCGTGTTACTGTTTTATTTAATTAGGTAGAGATCGCTAGAGATAATTACTACACAGTATGCATTATATGCATCTCTCCCACCGACTCCAAGTCTTCGTCAT